TCTAGCTTCTGGCCATAAATGTGTCAAACTTTGAGCTTTTGTGACAATTGCTCTGCAGTCTCCTATGGAATCCTCTTCCAATTAAGTTTCTGGAGTCCATTTTTCCAAAGAAAAAGCCATAACAAGAATAAGATTTCGGCCACGTTCTGCCCCAAAGGCACTGAATAGGGAAAACCATGAAAAATCCAGGCTGTTTTACTCCACCTGCAACAGTACATTGTGTGTTATGAACCCAGGTTGAAGTCTTTTTGGAGTTTTTTTTCAGGTTTCAAATTTCTCGGTCCTGAGCCGTGCACGATAAAATTACATATGGGCGGGGGGGGGGGGGGGGTGAGTATTACAGCACTGTTGGTTGCCGAAGAACTGTGGTTCAGCCTGGTAGACTAGACCGTTCATATTTTCATGTGCTACAGTCTATGGACATTTGAGCCAGCGTGTATGCATTGCTATGCTGACCTTGGTGACATTCTAACATGGTCGTTCTTACACACTCCGTTCCTCGGTGTCCCACAGTACTGTCTGGCTTGAAATTGATGAAGTCAGAAGTCAAAATCTAACGACAAATACTGACTCTTGGACCCACTCTGCCTATGGTATAGTATAGGGTATAGTTGGTGTACCCCTCATGTAGCATGTACACATAGCTGTGACCTCTTTTCTAGCAGGAGTGAGTACCTGACCAGTAGAGACAGTGACCTCTTCTCTAGCAGGAGTGAGTACCTGACCAGGAGAGACCGTGACCTCTTCTCTAGCAGGAGTGAGTACCTGACCAGGAGAGACCGTGACCTCTTCTCTAGCAGGAGTGAGTACCTGACCAGAAGAGACCGTGACCTCTTCTCTAGCAGGAGTGAGTACCTGACCAGGAGAGACCGTGACCTCTTCTCTAGCAGGAGTGAGTACCTGACCAGGAGAGACCGTGACCTCTTCTCTAGCAGGAGTGAGTACCTGACCAGTAGAGACAGTGACCTCTTCTCTAGCAGGAGTGAGTACCTGACCAGGAGAGACCGTGACCTCTTCTCTAGCAGGAGTGAGTACCTGACCAGGAGAGACCGTGACCTCTTCTCTAGCAGGAGTGAGTACCTGACCAGGAGAGACCGTGACCTCTTCTCTAGCAGGAGTGAGTACCTGACCAGGAGAGACCGTGACCTCTTCTCTAGCAGGAGTGAGTACCTGACCAGAAGAGACCGTGACCTCTTCTCTAGCAGGAGTGAGTACCTGACCAGGAGAGACCGTGACCTCTTCTCTAGCAGGAGTGAGTACCTGACCAGGAGAGACCGTGACCTCTTCTCTAGCAGGAGTGAGTACCTGACCAGTAGAGACCGTGACCTCTTCTCTAGCAGGAGTGAGTACCTGACCAGAAGAGACCGTGACCTCTTCTCTAGCAGGAGTGAGTACCTGACCAGGAGAGACCGTGACCTCTTCTCTAGCAGGGGTGAGTACCTGACCAGGAGAGACCGTGACCTCTTCTCTAGCAGGAGTGGGTACCTGACCAGGAGAGACCAGGTCAGTGACCATCGGTGGATGCGTGAGGAAGATGTGAAGGAAAACCACCCAAACGTGAATGGTTCTAGTGTTGAAACGAGCGTATCTATAACTAACGAGCGAACAGTTCCACTAACTAGTTTCACTGATGTGGCAAAGATGATATTTTTTTAATTCATATGCTTTGAACTTCCAGTGCCGACTAAGGCTGCGTTTACACGACAACGCTGGGGGCGAAAACGCAACGAAATCCTTTCGGATCCATGGTTCATTTACACGGTACGCGGAGCAAAACGTAAAAGTTGTACACCAAAACGGAAGAAAACCAAAACGCTGGCCAAGGTGGAAGAATTTGAAAACGGAAATGTTCTGCCGGATAAATTTGGGTGTGTAAACAGTCGAAACGGTGTGCTGGCCTCGTTTTCCGTCACGTTTGTTTCGTTTTCGGCCGTTTACACGGATCCGACAATCCAAAAAATTGTTTTTACAATTTTCGTCATGTGATGTGGGTTGTCGTGTGCCTGTTTTCAACCATTACTTGGGTGTGATTGGTGCTTCCACGGCAACACTTGGCACATGACGAACTTTGGCGGATCCTTTGCTCTCGTGTAGACGCTTGAAAACGGTACAAACGGAGACCACCTCGGATCGGCTTTGATCGTGTAAACGTACGAAAACGAAAAAAGAAATGCGGGACTGAAAACGGAAAACTGGCCGTGCGTTGTCGTGTAAACGCAGCCTAAGCATGACTTTCGCTCGAACGGCGATTCATTAGAAGCACTGACTGTACTGTTATGTGCATGCTGTAACGTATACGGTGCTCGTTAGTGCAAATGAGCTCGAGGCACAAACGAGCCGAGTTTCTGGCGAGTGAGCTAACGAGTGCCTGGTGAGATCCTTTCAACACTAAATGGTTCCATACGATAATTGAATCCAAGTTGATCCAAATGTCATCGTTGTCATGGCTTTGGCGTAGCATTGCACTGATGGGCTCTACCCGTGGATAGCTCCCCCCCCCCCCTGATTTGGTGATTTTTCGAGATTTTAGTGCCACGAAATTTGGAAGGAAACTTGAAAAAGGCCAGTCCTCATCTGCTGCAAAGCGTAATTGCTCTTGGAAGTAACTCGGCATGTGCACACGGTGTGGTAGGTAGAATGTCATGCGGTCCACGTATGCAGAGTCTGTCTTTACCATTGCCATTTTCATGTCTCTATTTATACACATCTCGTGTGCTTCATCAAAAGCCACTGAGTTGAAATAGGACCCTGTCAAGCTCACAGAAAAGCCACCACGACGTAAAGGCTCCAGGATAGTACTGGGCATTGAAGCCAAGTGAGCCAGATGCTGGGGCACAAGGCGAAGGTAGTTGGTTCTGTCCAAGCTATGGAACATGGGTGCCACGAGTTTCAGAGCCATTATCCGCATATCCCAGTTGCCACTCCGAATTGCCACCCAAAGTGATATGGCCCGATATCTGAGACTTTCGACCTTCGGGGCTACGCGTTTTTTTTTTTGAAAACACTAAAAACAAATTTGTTCGCAAAAAAATCGATTCCGTCAAAGCAAAGTGCAGAGACGACAACGGCGGAAGAAAATTGAAGGCGATTCTTGTGTCAGTTGGTTATTGGGCTCACAGAGGACAGCAGCCGCGATCCCATGGACGGTGATGCATCGTTCCTTGTGGATATCCTGTCAAGCAGCAACAGCGCTTCTAGTTCTGAGAGCGCATGTCAGGCGAATCGATCGCAAGTGACACGCGGTACTTACCTGTCGGGGCGACGATGATGAGGACTTGGCCTGGATGAGTATGATCAAGGCCAACCACAGTCTGCCTCAGCGATAGCTGCTACAGCTCCAGGCAAGGACAACCAGGTGGATTCCTGAGGTTACGCCGTTTGCAAGGTCGCTGGCCGCCCTTGCGCGGGTGGCAGAACTGTTTCCTGAGTGTCACGCCAGACCTGCTAAAATAGCACGAAATGATGCGAGTTTTCTTTGCGACGATGATCCTAAAATGTTTTGGATGGCAAGCTCGATACTCGAGCTAATAATGGCGAATCAGACCATCACGGAGCACATGAGGCTGGGCAATCTCGAGTAACATTCTGTTACTTTTGAGTTGGTGGTGTGAAACGCTTGCCAGGCTGTGTTAGTAACTGTTATTGATGTTTGGAAATAATTCCATCAGTCCGCTCTACAAAGTGCAACAAGGCGAATCTGCACGCATCTGCTCTGTTTGACTCCTTCACAATAATTATGTGAATGCTGTTATCATGGTGTTCCGTCAAAATCTGTTGCAGACTATCCTGTCAAGCGTGTCCATCACCAGGAGAACAGATAAATCACCTTTCCTTCTTATGCTGCTATTGCTGCTGTGTCAACTACACAACCTCAATAAAGTCACGGAATGCTGGAAATGAAGTACCTGAACAGTCAAAACACTCTACTATATTAGTTGGCTATTGATGTCACATGAAAACAATTTTTGGTGGCTCCAAGCACACTGATCTTTCAAAATTGTAAAAAAAAGAACAATTCATTAACATGACTCCTGACTGTAACATGCATTCCTACATGGTCAATATTGGTCTGATGGCCGTGAAACGAAGTCACAATACTCTACAAAGGCTAGACATCAATTTGCAATAAAAAAATCAATTTCACCAAAACAGCCCCGAAGGTCGATTTTCTCAGATATTGGGCCATATATAGCTCGGCGCATCACGGTAGTAGAAATTTCGCCAGAAGAGCCACAGATCATCATCCTGACTTTCTGCAAATTCCTTTACTTCCTGAAAAGTCCCGGATTTGGTGTTGCCATTTGCCATTGCATATGCCGTCTGGATTTCTCTTCCAATGGCTTCATGCGTCAGCAAGAGGAATTCGTGGCATTTACGAAAGTTTGAACAGCGTTCTAGAGATGTCAGTCCTTCACCCTTGTAGCCCATTGCCTTTGCCATCGATTTCAAACCAGCATCCCAGTATACCTTCAGTAGGCAAGGCTGTATGGCTTTCAGGGTGTGCCAGTCGCCAGGAAAGGGCACAAGCCATGCAAGCTCACTGCCATATTCATTCTGCAACTTCAGCAACAAGTCATAGGTCTTTCCATCACCCACAACCAGAAGCCATTGTAACTGTTTGCCTATTCCATACGTAACATACAGCTGGTCCAATACCAATTTGATAGTCTCTTTGCTGTCTGCCGGTTTGTCCAACAAACCGAGGTAAACAACATTGGTCACCTCTGGGCTGCAGAGATCTTGCCAGTCCTTCAAGTGAGTTCTCAAGTCACTCTTGCCATCCGTGCTTGTATGTATCTCATGTAGATCCGTTCTCAGTGTATTGAATAGCTCTTCATCTTTCTCAGTGGGTAGGAAGTGTTCCATTGTTGCGTGTGTCTGATCATACCACAGATCGCATGCAGCTGCGGTTTCTTCTCTGGCCTCTGCACAAACAGGCTGGGTGATTTCTGCTTCTGTGTCAACCATTGGTTCTGTGTGGTCCACTTGTTTCTGCAGTGTGTCGGACAGTGCATCTGCTGTAGCTTGTCGTCCTGACTGCTCGTTGACAGATTCCCTAGTCCCACTAAAGTTAGTAGTACCTTCTGTGTCTTCCTGCCATAGTGTGATTTCGTCGCAAATACATATGTCGGCCAGTTGGTCAGTTTCATTTCCCACTTCATTTATTGGCGTTGTTTGACTGGAACCTGGCTGTTCATGCAGTGTTCTACTTCGACGCCGTTTCGTCTCAGTTTCCTCGCCAGTGCTTGTCGTGGTAGGCACATGGCAGACAGGCTGTGAAACTCCGACTGTAGCATTTGCATCAAGTGGACTGATGTCACCACTCAATGGCAGTGGGTTCACATGCTGGACCGATGTGCCATGTAACCCTCTGCTAGCATCCTGGCAATACATACGTTTCCAGGGTGCCTCTTTGTCGATATTGTCCACAGACACCACACTCAGCTTGTCTAGCTGTAGGTTCTGAATGCCATTCTCTTTTGCTATTTCCACCATTGTCATCCTGTATCTATTGTAGGTGTCACGGCCCGCCGTTATTCCCAGCTGAGAAAAGATCCCTGCAAGTGTACTTGACTGGCTGTATGTGTCTAACACGTCTGCAAGCACCAACTGAAGCGGGTAAGTGCAAGCTGGATGACTTATGTGAAGGACTGTCGACACTACTTGCAGGCAGCGCAGGTACTTTGTGTGTGAAGCTTTATCCTGGGGATCGAATGAGGGTGAGCTGGAATTGTCACCATACAACATTGTCCACACCCATGACCATAGGTTGGTGTCGATAGTCTGACAGACCGACAGCAAATCCAACTTCCTTAGTTCCTCGGAACTCTGGTACTCTCGTCCAGCGTATGTACTTGCCTGCTCTAAGACAATTTGGTGGATAACTCACCCTCTCCCATACTTGTAAAGTTCAAAGTGATGTAAATCACTTTCCAACTGTTTAACCCACAATCTCACCTTCTCATCAATTTATCTCTTATTGGCCATGGTGCCATCGTGAGAATAAAGAATTCAAACTCGGGCAGCTGTGCCAATGGACGCCCCACTTACATCGTGTGTGTTTGGGTTGCATTCGTCCTCTGGGGCTGTGTGCAGGCACCGGGATCGCTCCCTGGACAGCGCTTGGTGCAGAGCTTGGGTGGTGTCACAGCCGGTTCGCATGAGCATGATGCCACCCTTCTTGGCTTTGGGGTGTACAATTTGAATGTGTGCTCCTAGCTCTTCCTGGATCAGTAACAGCAGAGATTTGCTTGTTTTCATCGGGGGAACGTCATGTGTCTGGTATAGATGAGTGTAGTATTCATACCATTTAACAAATAGCGTTGCTCCATTGTGTAACAGTTCATCTCCTACTCCGGCAAGCACTTCACCTTCTGCCTGGCATTGAACTGCTTTGTCCTGTGGTTTGTTTTCGGGTGCTGCAGATTGTTTGAAGCGTGCAATCATTACCCGGAGCTGATGGTCTGTGGTGTGACGGCCTTCCTCTTCAACCATCATAAGCTGCTTGAAGTAGCAGCTTCGACAAAATGTGTCTGTGTCTCTGATTCTTATCCCTTTATCGACTCGGAGGAGATGCTCAACAACCATATAATTTGGACACTTCCGTTTAGCCTCGTAATTGCGGAAATGCTTTCTACACCAGCCACAGCGCTCTTCTTCCCCATACCTTCTTTTGCTTGTTCAGAATCGTCTTCTGTGTTACATTCTTTCATTTCCGTTACATCTTTTCCCTTTTTTTTGACTACTCTTCATCTTGAGAAAATTGGCATTGACTGCCTGACTGTCGATAAAAAATACGTCTCCACAATGCAGCTGTTTGCATTTGAATTTTCCCGCGCTTCGGCTTTTCAGCCCGGGTTGAAAGTCTGTACGACAGACAAAAGAGGTGAGCGTTTACATGAAGACAGTTGACACGGGTCAAATACTGATATGCCGCCAAAAGTCCACTTCTACAGTCCTGTATGGTCACGTGAATCCGTTTGCGCGAAATTTGCACCTGCAGTAAATATTTTTTATTAAACTCTCAAAATAGAAATGAAAAACGTAAAATGTTTGGCACCTATGAAGTCAGGGGATGGCCCATGCCTGGTAAAAAAAACATTTGCACCGTTTTCGGTTTATTAAACTCTCAAAATAGAAATGAAAAACGTAAAATGTTTGGCACCTATGAAGTCAGGGGATGGCCCACGCCTGGTAAAAAAAACAAAACAATGAGGAGTTAAATACAAAGAAAACGAACTGAAAATACAAAAGTAAATGAAACACCATTACCAAAGAAACTGTACTGTATCATGTACACCGTTTATGGCACCAGGGCACATTCCGCAGCCGCCAGCACAGCCGAACCAGACAGATGTCGAGGCGGGTTCCGACGGTGACCACTAGGCCTTGGCGGATAATGCCGGCAGAAAAATTGGCAGAATTCGGTACTTTTTCTGGTAAGTTTCATGCATGTTTGGTATGTGGATAAAGAAATGGAGCAGAATTCGAGGAATTGCCCGCCATAAGGTTTGTATGGTTCTGCCAATTTCGGTGCAAAAAAAGCAGAACCCAACCGCGAGTTGCACACTCTTTTTTATCTACTCTTGGTGATATGTGTGCCAAGCTATTCTGTTCAGCAAACAGTTTCGCATGATCTCTACACTTGAGTTCCTGTGTGTAGGCTCCAGGCATGGCACAGGGCAGTATCAGTTCCTAATAGTATTGCCTCGACTGTGTCCTATGACACTCCGTCGTGACTGCACTGCAGCATGTGATGACTGCACGGTCAACGTGAACTACTAACTCTTTCTCTGGCAAAACTCCAGTCCACCACCAGCAGCAACATGACCTGGCGCTACACGTAGTACGATACTCCGACGGATGTCCACTGCACAACTACTTCGTCAACTACTAACAGCAGACCCCGATGTCTTGTGGATGGTTACACACGACCAGCACCGTCACTGAACCTGGGCCGTGAATCGCCGTTTAGTCTTCACGATAGGCAACACACCTGGACATTCCCTTTCATAGCTGCTCAGCGGCTTAGACACCAGATTCACGACCACGCTGCTTACAACGACAGATCTTCACTCTTCAAGGTGCAAGGGATTACGAGCGTACTGGGGTCTCGTCATTCATCGTACGCTTTGAAAGACACTGTGATCCAAAGTAGAATGGCCACACGCAAGCTGTGCTTGAAACTGACAGTGAAGCTGGGACAGCCTAATGTCTAAGTAGATCTACTACTAGTAATTAGCTTGCACGAGATAAATGCCGCTTGGCGGGATAGAGAGAGAAGAAAGAAATTTCAGCAGGAATCGAACATGATAATAATTCCCAAGCACCTATCTTGACCACCCAGCCACCACTAGGCACTAGTGCACTGGCACTAGGCCAGGGCCGCGCCGGGATCCGGGAGAGATCCGATCTTCTGAGCCAAAAATTATTTCCTGACCCAAAAAAAGGAGCGCCACCATGTTAGTGGCTATGACAACACCAGTGCATGCAGCTAGCTAGCTGAGCTTGTACTGTACTGTTGAGTGTTGTAGCTTATCCGTGCTGCAGCGCTGCTGAGTAGATCTACGAGTACGAGTGCTATGCTCATGCCTTTTTCATGGTGCTTTTTTGGCGAAGGACTTTTCGGTGCATCACCATGGTCACGCCACGCAACAGCTTCGACCCGGCGTCACCTTTGTACCTAGGCTACACTTGTAGGTACCTACATTGCTACAATGGTCTACAATGTAGCAAGCTAGACAGTAGTCAGTAGACTCACGTCGAGTTGGAGCAAACACGTCGTTTTCAACATCAGTTCGCTTCAAGCTATCCGTGACAAACATGATGGACAGTTCTGGAGTTTTGTTGCAGCTTTTGGCAACGACCGGAACAAAAAGAGCAAAACTGTAAACCATGGCAAACTAGGAAGGGAGATGACCCTTCACAGCCTGAAGGATTTCACTTGAAAAGCTCGGCTGACAACTAACTTGAAGCAGGAATGGTGGAGTGGAGTACACTTCAGTTGAATGTGGTTCCTGCTGGCCTTGCGGATGAATTCAGCGTACCAGCAGCAGGGCAGGGAGGATGGATCAACAAGAGGCAGTCTGAAGTATCGACAGCCTCTCACTGTTTCATACGGTAAGAGCTCAGTAAGCATAATTATACTGCGAGTCTTTATGGAACTAATAATTGTTGGTAGGACGTGTGCCTAATGTTTTGATTGATTGCAATCGCCTTCCCACAGCTAAACTAAGCTAGGTCTGCTGGTAGCTGCACGTGCAGTGTCGACGTGTAGCACAGGTGTCTCAGGATTCTTGTATGCTTGGAGAGCAGCTACAGTTCATGCTCAGTGAAATCCAGTCGAGTCACTCAAGTACACGCCGGGCGTTGAGCAGCCCTTCAGATGTATGTGGGTCCCTATAACAGGTCGGCCCCTATAACGGGTCGGCTCCCTATAGCAGGGCGGGTTTGACCAAAAAAGGAAGTCATGCAAGTGCACACATGACGTCTTGACTGGGTCCTCTGAGTGCAAGGGGTCCATGACCTTGTATAACGGAAATGGAAGAACCAGGAAATCCTCATTGACCCCATGACCCCGGGACTCAATTTCGCACTCACACGAAAACAGGCAACGGAAGGAACTATTGATCTTGTGAAAGAGATGAGGGATGGGTTATACCAAGACTACTATTACTATTAATGTATTATACTGAAGCAAAGATGGATATGGAAGAATAGGGGGAGAGCATGATGGAGGCGGAGGGCAGTGGAATTGCAGTAGGGAAAACGAGCAGGGTAAAATCAAAGACAAAAGATCGAAATGCAGAAACGTTTTGGGCAGGCCTAGATGAGTGTATACTAGTTTGCAAGGCAAGAGCTCTGAACAAAGCGTGGGGAGCAGCGAGGCTAATGAAACAGCTGGTAGAAGATGGAAACTATGGAAGTCTTAATGAACAACGTATCAAGAAAATTATTGAGAGATTCTTCTACGAGGATGGCGCACTCTATTACAAGTCAAACGAGCTAAACGTTGCGCACAGGAAATGCATCTCAATGGAGGAATTGATCAGCAAGATTGCAGAAGAACATAGTATTGATCATCGGGGACCCGAGACGATATACGAATCCTTACGGTGTTCGTATTATCCTATCATCCGATAGACAGTCCTGCAACTGCTGCGCCAAACACTCGAATGTGAGCACTGTGCCCGACAGAATCCTTTGCCCAAGACAACTTTGGTACGAAGAACAATAAAGGCCACTTACCCGAACAGTCGCTGGCAAATGGACTTGAAAAAGCTCCCAGTGAGTCGAGGCTTCCAATACGTCTGTAATATTGTGGACTGTCACAGCCGATTTGCGATGGGTGGTGCCATCAGAGCCAAAACTGCGAAGGAAGTGTGCCGCGTGATCCTTTCTGCGATGTACTTGTACAGACCTCCAAGAATTCTCCAAACGGACAACGGGAAAGAATTCAACAATGGTGATTTGTCGGCACTCATGGACGAGATGCGGACACAGAAGATCAACGGCCGACCGTATCACCCACAAAGTCAAGGCCGGGTAGAGCGCTTCAACCAGACAGTGGCGCAATTTCTAAGACGTGACCTGTTGGAAGATATAAATTGGCCTGATCGTCTGCCGCTGTTTTACTACAGCTACAACAACCGCGTCCACAGAAGCCTACACGGGAAAACTCCGTACCAGATGTATTTCCAGAGGCCAAACTTTTCCTTGTTTCGCGACCAGGAGCGCTGTAATCTGACCACAGACGAGAAGGACTTTCTCCAGTGTCAGGGAAACCTGAACTTGGCCGATGAAGCAAATGACGATGATGAGGTCGACGATGAAGACGTTCCTTTAGGCCAGCAAAAGCCACAGCCGACAGCACCAGAGACAGGAGCAGCATACCCGCTCGAGCTCGCATGGACGCCAGAGGAATTTCCATTTGAGCATGCTGTAGGAGACGTTGTTTACTACAAGAAAGCTGTAAACCTAGGCGGAGCAGCCGGCACAGCGGCACTGACTCAGTGACGCAGTGGCATAGGGGGAGCGTAGCTGCTTTGCGTCGAGAGAATTTCTTCCGCTTGTACGACATTGTCGACACCGACGACTCGCCAGTCGGCTCCTTTGCTGGTAGTCATGTCGGGAACGCACCAACCCAGGCATCCATCGAGGCACGAGACCGAGAAGGACGGTCAACTTCCACGGCTTCCAGAAACCAAACGAAGTAACTCCTTGTTTCGAAACAGTAGGTGTTTGATTTCCTTCCTAAATACACGCATGCGTGTTTACTCTGTACATGTGTAGATTCTGCACTGCACGTGTAGCGCAACGGCATTAAATTTTATTGTTTAGATTATATGCATTGCGTAACCATAACCTTTAGTTGATCCTCTGATCTTCAGTTCTCCTTTATTTAGTTGACCTTCTACATCTGCTTTTTTGCTTATTTGAAGCACAGAGTGTACATGACACTGTGTACTCTGAGCTAGCTATTATTTTGTGTCTATAAGGCATACGATATGCACCTCTTGCACTGCACTCTGAGCTGTCCATATATGCGACTCAAACCGACCCGCTATAGGGAGAACACCCAAACCGACCCGTTATAGGAACAGGCCTGCTGCTGGGTCCATCATGTACTCTCAGTAAAATACAGGCGAGTCACTCACGTACACGCCGGGCGTTGAGCAGCCCTTCAGATGT